ATTCTGATCGCATAACAGTTTCTTGATTTACCAATGGTGCAATGTGTTTTCGATAAAATTTGATAGATATTATATCTATAAATCTCATGAATATACTGTAATCTGCCAAAAAAAATTAATTTACTTCTTCAACTCCACACAGAGCTTATTGTCCGTTTTAGAGTGGAAACTCATCTACTCAAACATAGAATATTTCTTATTTTAACATAAATCTGGCACTGCATTCTGATTTTGGCGTAGCCAAGTTTGGGTTGTCTGCTTGGCACTTAATGTGTTGTACTAAAATAATTTGCTCTGTGTTATTTGCTCTTGATAATTTGTAGGCAAGCAACAAAAAGAACTTAATAAAACAGGGGCTCCTCAACAAATATGGTAAACCAAATGAAAAAACTCCCAAAAACTGGAATCCAGCAATAGATGATTTCAAGTAAGTAAATTTATTGTACTAAAAATATATCTAAACGTTGATGAGTTACAGTGTATTTAAACCCTCGAAGTGTGTATGTTATGTTTCTGTACTGTGTGCGGAATTTTGAGCTTTTTAGGTGATTTTTCACATGCAAATACTATAGCTAGGCCCCATAAAGTATATATTTATTGAAAGTAGACTGAGTGGGGAATCATTCTGGCTATTTTTTTTATGATATTTTGTACTTGCTGACCATGACCTTGACCTTTGAATGAACACGAATAAAGAAAATAATGAAATTTTTTTAACTACAATTTTTTAAAGGCATATTATTATAATGTTTAGATAATATGATAACATATTTATATGTCTTTCAAAAAATGTATTACTTTTATATGTTTTAGTTATTAATAGATTTTAAAAAAATTCTTCTGATTGCTATAATGGGAGTCGCTTAGTCAATTATTTTGTCTTGTGATGTGAGTAAAAACGAGTAAGATTTCCGGTATACTGTATACAACACACTAGTGCTTGACAACAGTAGCCCGATACACACTACAACTACACTACATTTCGTCCAATGAAAATTAACAATAAAATAAACAAAGGGGAATGACTCCTGCATCAATATTGAATAAAAACGCAAATGACGTCATGAGCACGCACGGAGCTCAACAACATCCTGCCGATAATACTATTGATAGTTCCCATCGAATATCGCTCACAAATTTTTCTTGAAATAACTTTCTTCCTTTAATTATAACTGACGTATATTTATTGTCACATTTATGTATTTCATTTAAAAAACGCTTTCATTCCATAATATTACGAAAGGTAAAATTTTTAATTAACTTGACATTATTGGGGAAGCACTGATGAAGTATCAGTATCTTTTGTTGTGTGTAGCAGCCTAGTGATGGCTTACTCACCTCACGTGACCAAACAAGGAAGTAACTAAGCGACTCCTATTACGTTCAAGTAACAAAGCACGGCATAAACATTATAAACATTACTAAATAGCATGAAACAGATAAAATTTAAATAGCTGCTATATAAATATTTAATCCATAAAATTAAATATAAGAAAACATTTAGAACAACATCCAATTATTTTTTGTTGGTACACAATCATCTGCAACATAGTTTTGAACGAGTCATGCTGCAATGCATACTCATTCTAACCTAGGTCTAAAGAGTCCGAACTTTCGCTTTCTGACCCACTAGAAAAATAATTGGAATTACCATTGTCGACGTCTGTAATCGGAAAATCATCTTCTGAATCACTTAAGTCATTAACTAATAAGAATTATCAAAAAGATTCCTGATTTATTTTGCAAGCCAGATGGTCCCGCTATGGCCTCATCCATTTTGCGAAAATCTGCTTACACAAATTTGCTTGGTAAAGGTCGTTGAAATAGAACTCCAAAGTTTAAAAAAAGGACACAGAAGAGCGAAAACAGAAATGTATTTATTATTTAAAGGAAGTAGATTTATTTTGGGTGAAATACTGGTCAGGAATGTATTCTTTCAACGCAATTTCTATCGGCCGACTCAGTTTAGAAAGAGGAAATTGTCCAATTAGATCGGCCAACCAGACTTTATCCTTTTCAATGTTTCTTAATTAAATGAGAGAATGAAATAACATGTTTCTCAAATAAAATTTCAGTGCTGATGGTCAAGGCAAAGGAGTGCAAAATCCAAGTTTGGCTGCTGACTTAAAAGTGGAACCAATGTAAGCTATTAAGAAATATACTGTATGTTACCACTTATAACGCGATCCACACGTAATAACCACTATCATTCTATATTGAAAAAAAAGTCTTAAAATACAGTGTCCATGTCTAATACAATCTGTTAGTCTTACTCACTCAAATAAAACAATACAGATTAAATATTTATTTTTAATAAAATTGATAAAGCGCTTTCAAGTATTATAATACAGTATTTAAAGTGAAGTGTTGTCATACTGATATCCCTTCATAGAGACACTACTTACATTCTCTTTGGCTGAATGCGAGTGGGCAAAGAATATTTGGTTGCATTTGTAGGCCTATATATCATTTTCCGGTAGTGAAAAATTCTTACATGAGCGTATAATGCAAACTTGTATATTTAAGTAGCATTTTGACCTCAAATTTCTTGCATTATGTTGTAGTTTGTGCAATCCCTTCTTGAATACAAAATTAATCAAAATAACAGATGCTATATGACATTTATACCCAACTTGTAAGCAAGCTCATCCAATTTGTGTAAAAATAGAAAATTTCTTTTCTCATTTTGCTATAATTAGAAAGAAAAGCTTATAAATGGCCAATTGACTTTAACATTTTTTACTTTGAACAGTAAATAAATTTTACTCTAAATACAGCAAAGCTCATGATACAGTAAAAATTTCTAGAACTTTACACCATACTGGAGTTCCTACCACATTCAATTGATTTTCTTCACATATTTCAGTACAACCATTGCCGCTGGTCGTAAACGCCAGCGTGAAGCTAGTGACTCTGGCAGTGATGCTGACACAACAGTTAATACAACAACTGAGATCACTACTGCAGGTGGAGATGCAGCAGAGGAGAAGAAGAAAAAGAAGAAGAAGAAAAAGGACAAGCAAAAGGATTTGGAAGAAACAGCTAGCCCAGTTGTCGAAGTAAGATGTAACATGGGTTTAATATTGTTGATTAAAGAATAGTTATTTCAACCCCTAAGTAATCTTCATGTATGCTTGACCCGAAATAGCCAAAGCTGGTCAATATGGCACTTGCTGGTAGATATTTTGACTATTTTGGGGGATGGGCTACTTTGTGAGTTTGGTATCTGTTAACAATTTTGCTATATGAGCTAGCAAGCAACTTGTATGACACTAAGAACTTGAATTTATTTTCAGAATTCTGAAAAGAAAAAGAAGAAGAAAAAGAAACACAAGAAAGATGATTCTGATTAAAGAACTGATGCTGAAATATATAAAAAAATTTCACTGCCAATTATGTTTGTGTGGATGTGGAATGAATTTGTGAAGAATGAAATGGAAAGATTTAGAAATCTAATGCAGTGTCTCCACAAGTTCAATCTACAATTTAGCTGTACTGACCTAAGGTAAATATTCTAGGATTACAAGGAATATAAATACTTTGTACCACTTGAAATAATAATGTTATTTGCCAAGAAAGCCCATGTAAATTTGATGCATTTTACAAATGCCAAAATGCATTGAACTATTTTAATATTTGATGTCATAAGACATGGTTTTTAAACTTAAGGATGGATTCTGAGCATAGGAAGATTACACATTTTTAATTTTGATAAGTGGGAGGATGTTCAATTGGTGGGGCCACCAGTGTTAAAATCATATGGGTCACATAATGACACTGATTTTCCTACAATTTGTTTTTTTAATGTGTTCCATTTGTTGATGTAACTGAGGCATTACTCATTAAAGTCATAAATTGCTTTTAAACTGATTTTGGTGGTTATATTTGTTCTTGTAATTAATTATATCATAAGGTTCATACTATAAGTGAGTTCGTAAATTTCAATTAGATTAGAATATCTTTGAAAGTTCCATAAAGTTACACCTTAGTGTTAAGCTCCCTAGTTGAGGCAAATCCAGCAGCATTTGTGGGATGTTTGACAATCCCACTAGCTGAGAGGAACAAAATTAAGCATTTACTGTTGGCCAGTTTTAAGTCCTGTAGTTTTCTTGTTTACACTTCGCATATAGCATAACTAATTGTTAAAATCACCATCATGCAAGATGTCACTTTTGATCAAGTAGATTTTAGGCCAACACAAAGCATGAAAAGTGTAAAAAAAAATTTAATTAATTAAAATTCACCACTGATTCTAGCTCTAAATAACTTAATGAAGAAGAATCAGTCTTGATTTAAGAATATTTCTATTATTGTTGACACTTTTAAATTAAACTGTAGTAATAATTATTACTGTTATAGGAATTGAAGCAAATACTTTTGGTTCAGTTGGATGACAAACTGCAAGAAAAGGGGAAAGATCATTTTGAACAAATCCAAAGTGCATTATTATTATGGCTTACCTACTACAAAATAAAAACTTTAACATTGCAGTATTCAGTTATCTCTGATAAACGTGATATGTTGTAATGCTTACACATGGGTTCTCACGACAATGACATCATATAAGTCAAATTCAAAAGTACCCATAGTACAAAATTTTTAGTTCCACTGTCCACTTTTAGCACATTTTAAAAATGTTGTCCTAAGCTGCTCTAGCTCTAGGCCAGTTGTCTGAATGGGTACATGATTACATGTTTAAAATTTTAATATTTTTTTTCTACAAATAATGACAATATTCAAACCCTGCCTGCAGCTCCCTAAATATTCACATCAGCTTATGAATATAAGTCATCGCTTCTCACTCATATGATAAAAGATAACTTCATAGTTTTGAAAAGGAACGGTTTAGTTTATATGAAAGGAGGTAATATTTGCAAGCAAATTAAAAGTACCCGTATATTTCTTGGATGATTGGTTGTCTGTCCACAGAGTCTCGCTAACACATTTGTGAGAATTATCCATGATCGTAATAAATTGACAAACCATTCTGTAATTATAATATTCAAGACTCATTTAATCAACTTTAACACTTCATAAATAAAAATGTAACACAATTATCACACATTTTTTTTTTTACACACAAATCTTAAAATTCTTTCCAGAATAAGCACATCAATCACATCAAACAATTTTAATTTTAACAAAAGAAATAATGTTCTTCTACAAGTAATTTTTAAAATGTTGGACATAAAAACACCCAGCCGATTTATTTTCAACAGCTTTCAGTTAAGTATGTGAGTCAGCAAGACATAGTTTTTAACTGTCTGTGGCAAAGGTAATGATTTCACCTGCCCAACTAAACTCCCTCTAAGACATCTCCGAATGGCAGCTACAGCTTCATCTCTTAGCATTCTCGGGTTGCATGCCATCTCAGCAAGCCACTGCAGTGTGTTTTTATAATCAGGAGGGAGATTTAGGCAATGAAGTAAGGTCAATTCTGTGTCAGATGATGTAGTTGGGGTAGATTTTCCAAGGTCCCTTGCAAAAATGTGACATTTTCCATGAACTCTGTATCCCACCCTCACCATCAGCACACACACATCCAAGTAGCCCTCCATGTACGCTAGTTCAAAGGGGTCTAAAGTAAACTCAGCTCTCCGCCTTTTCTTGTAGACATTCCCCTTGATGGTGAGGTCACAGTTGTAGTAGAGGAGGGTCCTGAGAGTAGCCAGGTCGCCTGTGCTTGCACAAACCAAGGCAGGAGTTACTCCAGAAGGAACTGTAATCAGTTTCAGAAAGTTTAAATCAACATTTTTTATGGGTTTAAATTATTTTTTTTCTGGACAATGCACTGGTATAGATTGAAGAACGATTTCACCTACCGGTATAATTGTTTCATTTAACCAATAATGATAATTTGCTGGACTTAAGCACTAGCTGGAAGGGCCTATATTTTATTTTAAATACTTAATGATACTTATTGGTGTGTGCCATTGATAAAAAAGGGTGAAACCAGCCGTCAAGCATAAAAAAGACTAAGACAATTTTAGGTACGAGAAAATTATCAGTAAAAAGATAAAAAATAGCTTTTCTTAAAAATGTTTGCATATTTACAGTCATAGTGTGGGCAAGGGAACTTAAGATATGTTGTTACATTACTGCAGTATTCTGATTCTATTCTAATACCTCTCTGTGAACATAAAACAGAAGTTACATTAACTGTAAACAGTGAATATATACTCACATTTAATATTACTGTCCACACCAAGAGAGAGGAAATAACGGACCATTGTATCAGACCTGAGTAAGGCAGATGTCAGCAAGGGGTTGCAGCTTTCACAGATGGAGATATTGAGCTGAGCACCGGCAGACACTAGGAGGGAGATGATCCTCATGAAGTTCTCATTGATGACAGGTCCTCTCACCCCTGCACCTAAAGCCAAAGTGAGTGGGGTGTGCAGTGTTTTGTCTATGTTGTTCACATCTGCCCCAGCGCCAATGAGCAGCTCAACTGCATGGGCATTCCCTGACAACACAGCAACCTGGGTCAAAGAAACAAAATAAAAAATATGTGCCTCAATGCCTCTTATGCCTTTTTACCCCACCTTGAATATAGGACGTCGAATAGTAATCTATATTCATCTTGTTTCAGTGCTTTCCTTTCCAGGTGTATCCCAATAGTTTGTGTGTCTTCCTCTAGCTCATGTCTCCATGTATTCTTTGGCCTTCCTTTTCCTTGTGTGTTACATGACAGGAATTGTCTGCTGATGCTCCCTAGGGGTTTACAAAGAGCGTGCCCTGTCCACCTCTATCTTTCCTTGTGATGTCTTTAGGAATAGGTTCTTGATATGTCCAGTGCAGTAAGTCTTTGTTGATGATGATGTTTAGTCATTTTATGTTCAAGATATTTCTCAGGCAAGTGTTTGTGAAGGTCTGTACTTTGTGCATGATGCTCACTACTGTCTTCCAATTTAGTTTATTTATGTCTCAAAAGAGTAGAACTGATTCAATATATTTTCTTTAACAGCACATATGGCAACCTGGCCTGTCCAAGTCTAGCCCAAGAAAAAGTTAGGTGACTTTTGAATATATTTTTCATGTGGCAGTAAAATAATCAATAAAATAATAAGAATTTCTTTACCCTTTATCAATCCATAACAAGAATAGGTAAAGATTATTTTAAGGCCACGAATGGGTTTGCTCCTCGTTGAACTATTTGAATCAATGAAAATAACAGAATGATTTCAAAAGAGTAAAAAAAATCAAATAAAAAAAGTTAAAATTTTGGTGAAATCCCTTTGGAATATTTTGCAGAAAAACAGTAATCCCAGGATATTATTAGGCACTGACAGAAGTAAATGAGAGTCATTGACTCAAAATTGGAAAAAAAATATATCTAGAAATTAATCATCAGAATCTTGTAGTGTGATTATTCCAGATTTTACTTACATGTAAGGCTGTCCTCTTTCCACGATAGTCAGTCAAATCAAACATAGCCCCTGCTTCAAGAAGGATTTTCATTACACCTGTCCTCCCCCCATCTGGATCTTGAGTGCAACAGTTCATTAGAGGAGTGAGTCCTTCATGACATCTTATGTTGACATCTGCACCATACTCTAGAAGGAGCCTCACAAGCTCTTCGCTCCCTGTTTCCACAGCACAGTGTAAGGGTGACTTTCCAAATTTGTCTTGGCACTTGACAAGCTCAGCATCAGCATCAAGCAATACCTGGGGGAAGATGTTATGTTCTGCTTTACACAAATTGTTTTACTTAAGTTTATTTATTTATTTAGGCATTTTTATATAGCGCTTACCTTAAAGCTCTAAGCGCTTTACAATTATTAAAAACATGTAAACTAAGTAAAATAAAAATGAAACACTAGGATAGTAACTACCATACTATAGAAACAATTAAAATGGCTATAAAACGAGGACACTTTGGCACGTTTTGGCCTTTACTACAGGATCAACCCGAGACAGAAAATGAGGCAGGGCAAGGAGGGTGCATCACAGGTCATAGGCGGACCTAAACAGATGGGTTTTAAGGGACTTTTTGAAAGTGGACGAGGTGTCACAATGACGGATATGGAAGGGGAGCTGGTTCCAGAACGTGGGCCCATGGAAGTAGAAGGAGCGTTCACCGATGGTCTTAGTTTTGGTTCTTGGGATTGAGAGGGTTCTATTGCTTAAAGTTAAATAGGTTTATTCTATGCTGAAATTTGGACATTTTCTCTACACTGTCTAATTAATTTTTAAAAGGGAGTGAATTTTTGTTTTATTTTACAAAATATAGTCTAAAAAAAAGTATGCATTGTTAGATATATTACATTTAATTTTCTTTAGTTGATTAATTTTGTCAGGCTGTTACATAAGATCATGAGAACTAACAAATGAGTAGATTTTCAAGTATGGCTCATTCGAACATAATTTTAACAATTTAATATATAGAAAATGGCACCTTGGCGATTTCCGGGAACTGTATGGACACACTGTACATTAAAGGTGTTTGTCCCCATTTGTCTCTCACAGTTAGCTGAGCTCCATGTTGTATGAGTACTCTGATTTTAAAAACAATTAAGAAAGCTTAAGAACAATTGAAAGTCAACAAAGATACTTGGGTAAATTGGTTTTTCTAATGAAAAAAATCTTTCCTTTTTGGGCCTTATACTTATGTAATATTCAGACAAGTACAAAGTTTTACAAGAATTATTTGCAAGAGGGTTTTGAAATCTGTATCAGCCCAGAAAATGTTTTTCTTATTTTCTAAATTGGCTCTAGGATTAAATTAATTTTAAAAAAAATGTTACTTAACTACAATATCTAACTTATAATACCTCTCTGTGAGCTTAAAACAGAAGTTACATGCATTCTTCCATTACCTGGGTTTCTTCCCAAAAGATATCCTCTGTCCCTATTTATAGAGTTTGTGATTAGGGCACTTTTCTGCAGTAGTTTTAAAGCAATTTATAAAATACTACACCAGCATAATCTATTATAATCAATGATGTTTTTGGAGATTAGGACTACAGGTACTAAAATAATATCTTTCTTTTACCGTACTATATTATTTGCTCATTCATCCGATATCATCTAAATAATCCTGGGGAAAAAACAACTACAGTGTTTTAGTTCTAAATACCTTCAGTGATTCAGTGAGATGTCAGTTTCAAACTTCATGCATGCACTCAGAAACTCCATGCAGGAGGGAAGACAGCCCCTTACTTAAGGCATTCTGTATGTCCTTTACCACAGCAGATATGCAGCAAAGACTTTGAGCTGATATTCATTGTGTCTTCATAGAATTCATCTACATTTCCTCCTTGCTCCAACAGTTCAATTAATCGATCTACATTGTTTTCAACTACAGCATGATACAAACTACCAGAATCCATCTTTTCTGAAAATTAAAAAAACAAAAAAAAGTTGCAACAATGCAGTTTAATTTCTTAGCCTTTTTAAAAAAAAATTTCTCTTAAGTATATTGAAAGGCTGCTAAAGTTAGTTGTTAATTTTAAGGATTTTTTTTGTTATCTTCGCAGACAACCTAGCAATACTAGCATATATGAATGTCATATACAATTTTGTAAAGACTATACTAATCAGTTTCCAAAAATAAAGTCACATGGTCACAAATAGGGGATAAAATAATTGTTTATTTTTAAAATTTACACAGTACAGGAACAGGATCTATTTACTTTTGAAGGCAGCCATTTCACTATTTCATGAGTGGGAGGGTCTCTGAAACTACTTTTAGGTTTAACTTTTTCTTTAATCATTTCTTTGTATTTAGGTATTTTTTATTTTATTTTTTTGCTTCTAGTTTATTTTCTGTAAATTAATTAGATAAAGAACCTTCATTTAAAATGGAGTTATGTCCCTTTGCTTGGGCGCTGGGAGTAGACAAGGATGAATAGGTTTGGACTGTAAAGGGTTAAGTGTATCACTGACCACTTTTTATTATTAATTAATTGTTCACGGATTTGTTTGGGCTAATTTACAACTAGTACAAGGCTTACTAGTAGTACTAGTCTTTAAAATAAATAGACTTTAATTCTCCCTTTGGCAAATGCAGGAATAAAATATCTCACTTTCCTTCTTTTCTTGTTTATTATCCAAATGACATCATTCAAGAATTTATAGTAAATGGGAAGAATGTTTATACTTATTCTAATAAGCAGTACTAGCTAAGTCTATGTAAACTAATTTAACTAGTAATTATGCAGTAAAATAAACTTAAAATCATTGAATCATATACAGTATGCGCCAAAAGTAACAGTACTGAAACTCCATCCTCTTTAACGTGCAAGTCAGTTCGTCAATGGTGTATAGCTTGGTCACCACATGTTCCGAGAAGTGAAAAGGATTATATGTTGGGCAGTTTTTGTTGCAAATGGGTAGTAGATATTGATAGTTGACCATAATTTTTGCTCACACTTAAATAAATTTATAGGAGGATCAGATCTGAATAGAGGTGGTGAACAATTCCAAGAGAGATTTAATAAGCACCAAGTAACACAGTTATGCTGTCTATTGTTACTAAGTTTCACAGTTAAATTGTTTTAAGAAGTATGATCCATAAGTAAGTTTTCCAATGATTAGAATCAAACTGTGTTCCCCAGAAGGTATTGCTTTTGTCACTATGGATTCTACAAGGAAAATCCTTCAAACTGAAAATCAGTAATACATCCATTAACTGATTGTTCAAGGACTTTTGCAAGGTGCATTTTTATACAGGTTGGATAAAGCCAGATGTGCAAGCCAGGATGATGTAATGTGACTGTGGACATTTCTGGCTATGGTGTACAAGGTTCCATATTTGTTAACAGGTCAATCAGACTTTCCCTTCCATTGACAGAGTACCTTTCCAGAACCATCATCCATGTTACTTGAAAAACCCATTTTGAACAAAAACAACTGCCCAACATTTAATTATAATATAATCTTTTTCCCTTCTACGGTCACACAGCAGCTGGACCTATTATGCCCCGTTGACAAACCCAAGTACCCATTCAAGTTTTAGTATTGCTACTGTTAGCTTTTGCACATATTGTATAAAGTGTATTTGGCCTACTTGGCAATTAATGATGGCAGTCCCTTATTTCAGCTAATTTTTATTTTATTTTAATGAAATAAATTAAACATTTCCTCTTTACTTGATGGAACTACATTAAAAAACTTCAATGGTTCTTATAACATGTATTTAATGTTTTCCTATTGCCTATTAGTTTTTCATGTATTTTTGTTGGTTTTAAAGGGATTTTATATTAAAACATGCATTTAAAAATCAGTCTATCAATAAGTTTGTTTATTGCCTATTCAGCCAATGTGAAGCTAGATTTTTTTCACTTTTTCCCTGTCTCAGATCAAAAGCAATAAACGGTTAAAGTAAATTAAAAATAATAGACAAGTAAGACTGAGAAGCGTCATGTTACAGTGGGGTCACACAGCTGGAACCGCGTCGGCACACTCTGGGATGGGGGTGTAGAAATAAAGTAAAAAATGTATTTAATATAATTAATTGTTATTTAGAACACAATTACATGGAACTTGTTTTGGCAGAAGTAGTTGGTACACCATATTTTTCAGAAGATTTCACCTTTTTCATAAAGTAAGACTTTTTCTCTTTTACTTATTTATAAAACACCATGCAAGTCAGCTTGTAGTTAAACCTTGGCAGCAGTCGATTTCTTTCATCAGTCCCCTGAGCCTACATCAGCTTGTTGACATAAATAAAACTAACTGAGGCTGCATTTACATGTTGTGCTAACAGATAGCGTTACTTCAGTACTTGAGCCAAGCTCATTACTACACTAAACAGTGTAGTGTTTGCAAATCGGGACAAAATTGGGTCTTGTCAGGATGTCGGGACAAAAAGGTCCACTTGTTCTGCGTTCAAATTCTTATTATGGTGATTTGTTATGGGTTATGGTAAACTTACACTCTGTACTTTTACAATAGTCAATAGTCTAGTACAGCGGACAGTGTTAGACTACTACGGTGTACACAGACACAGTTCAGTACAGTGAACCAGAACAGCCTACGCCGCGTTGACCTCACGCCTTTCAGGATGCATTTAATCCCAACATTTATTTGAATTGTGGACACCCTTTGATGGCTTTGTCATACCACAGCTCCTTACACACTTTATTTGGAGCAGCTTAGGTTTTTTTTTCTTAGGAGTCCTTCTATACTTGACTTTCTTTAAAACTTTCAAGTACAAGTACAAGTAGAATGGACTTACGATGCGGAAACGGATGTTTCCATTTGTTTGTAAACTTTGGCAAATGTAATTCTGCGCATGACTTAAAATCTATTCCGAGGCTCCAAACGTGGCGACTGACTGACTTCCTGCCAGACTGTACAGGAATCCATTACTCATTCACTGAACAATAGTCTATACTTACCACAGGGCTTAAATATTAATATTTATTTTGTTAGTAATCACATCAAGGTCTGGCAGCTGACGAGAACGTAGATTTCTTCAAGATGAGTGCGTCAGGAGAATTCGGTAACCCACTCAGAAAATTCAAGCTTGTATTTCTAGGAGAACAGAGTGGTAAGTCTCTCTACATTTACATACTACTATTTCTAGGCTTCTACACTGACACTAGACTAAACTTAAACATATCAACACTAACTGGTAACTATCACATCACTAGTACAAGTATCAAATGTCTAAATGATAAATCAGTATTAGTATTGTCACTAGACTACGTGAATACGACTACTCACTCCTGAAATGTTGTACGACACTGATGCCAACTCACTGACCGATGCTGATATAAACAACTGAAACTGAATAATGTTAGGAGCCATAGCCATAGTCTGAACTAGTCATAATAAATGTTTAGTTTGTAATGTACTACTCACTAGTTACTAGTAGGACCTAATTAACAAAGGACAAGGTACTGTGAAGACAGTAAAGTGGTGCTACAACTATAGTGCAGTTAGTAAGTTAGACTAGTCTCACTAGACTGTGACTAGTCTACAGTGTAGTGGAGCTACGTCTACAATTCTGTAAGTATTAGTTTTTTAGTACTAGTTAGTTACAACTTAAGTACCAAGACACAATAATAATAATAATAATAAGTCTAAGCTTATCAAAGTAGACCAGCCCCATTTTTTTTACAATTTAACTATTTAAAAGTCACATTCACATAGTCCAGATAGTTAAGAAATGAATAGCAATTAATTAGTAGCAAAAAATAAATTTATTGTAGATCACAGAATTAATTTTATTACTGTATGTCTCATTCTTCTGTGTCACAGCTAAGCATCTGCACATATGTCTATAATCTTTCAGATAAAGTTAGAAGGGCAGAGATCTTATTTTCAAATTTTATTGCAATCACATCTATTTTACTGTTCAAAATTAAAAAACAACTCTTGTAATTGGGTTATAAACTAATAAAAGAATTATGAAAAAGGCAATGTTGGCATCCCATTTCTAGTTTTACCTTATTACGCCTATATTTTTACTTTTCGGCCTATTGACATTGGAATGAAATCAAACATTTTCACTTAGTTTTCAGTTTGGTTTAGAATCTAGACTTTTAGGCTTCTTTAAGCCCTTTAAATCGGAAAATACAAAAATAGTTATTATCATAGTTACTTAAAGTCTAACGGGCATAATTTTTCTGCCTTTTTTCTAAATACATGTACTTTAAGGTCTAAATTTGGTATTAGAAATTCCAGAACAAACCTGTTTTCTTAAATATAAATTCTTCAACTTAAAGTAATTATTAAATATTTTTAAATTATTTCAGTTGGAAAGACTTCGCTCATCACAAGGTTTATGTATGACAGTTTTGATAATACTTATCAGGTATACAAGTAATAACAGTTTTAAATTAGGAATTAAGATGTTGCAGTATGAGTGACTTTTGGATTTAATTTCTTAACTAAAGACAAAATATTAGTCTTATATTATATATAGTAAGGGGAAATGAACTTGACTTTAATGTTGCACAGATTATGTCTTCTTAAACAGCAGACACCAATGAACATAATACTTTTGCCTGTGCCGTCAAAACTGTTTGATTTGATGAATCATCTCTTTTGATGCTTTTAGTTACCTGAATTCCTAGACTTTTAAAAAGAATATGTTTCAAACCACACTAGCATAATATATATCCAATTTTTTCATAAGTAGGATTTTCTTCCAGGACAATTTTAGAATAATAATTTGTGCACCTTTTCAACAATAAAATTAATTTTTTCTCCCGCAGGCCACAATAGGAATAGATTTTCTCTCTAAGACTATGTACTTAGAGGACCGAACGGTAAGTCTGTAATTAATTGTATGTATAAGCAACACCGTAAACCAAAAAATTGGTACAAAATTTACAAGTTATATATTTACACTCACTCTAGTGCTTGGTTTTGTTGATTTTCTTAGATACGACTTCAATTATGGGACACTGCAGGGCAAGAAAGGTTTCGCAGTTTAATTCCAAGTTACATTCGAGATTCTTCTGTAGCCGTTGTTGTATATGATATTACAAGTAAGAACTACTTCTCCATTTAATTTTTTAAAATCCTTTAAGATCAATATTAAATTTTTAATAATGTAATGATGCCTTGATACTAATGTAAAAATTTATGTTACTTTAATTATCTCTCTTTCTCCTAAAGTTCTCAACACTTAATAGTTTTAAATTACAATTTGTAATTCTCTCTAAAAGTTCTACACATACCAATTCAATTAATTATACTCCTAGATGCAAATTCCTTCCATCAGACATCAAAATGGATTGATGATGTACGAACAGAACGTGGTAGTGATGTTATAATTATGTTAGTAGGGAACAAGACAGATCTTTCTGACAAAAGGTATGTTTATTTTACACCATTTAAATCCAAGTCAATTACCGGGTATTATCAAATTTGAAATTTTTTTTTATGCACTAGCATAAAATAACATTTCTCATACAAGCTTAGTGAGTTGAAGTCCTATACTTAACACCTTTTTTTTTATTTTCTCCTATCCTATTTTTATATTTACAAAAAAATATTTAGCTCTGAAATCTTTTTTTCTGTTCCAACTAGGCAAGTTTCAACAGAAGAAGGTGAAAGGAAAGCAAAAGAGTTAAATGTGATGTTTATTGAAACTAGTGCAAAAGCTGGTTACAATGTTAAACAGGTAGGACTTTTTAAAAAAAATATTTTTTTAAACTGTATAATATGTCCTAGTCTAAGAAAGATTTGTCTATATCTTATGTATTCTATCTCATATTAAATTGCCACATTCATAATTTATTTCACAAACCAGACTTCCTAAATCTTATATTGCGGTTTATTACTAAAAGTTGCTGATAATAATTCTATATGAAAAATAGTTACCTCTGTAAAATTTATTGATTAGTTATATATGTTAAAATAGTATCTTTGACTTGTGTTTTTCCTTTTTAAAGATGTTTAGTCTTCCATCTTGTGAACATTTTGTAAAAAAAAAAAAAGAAGAAGCTGAATTAAAATGTCATACGGACTGTATTATAATATTTTGACATGTTCATCCCATGTATTCAGTTATTTAGAAGAGTTGCTGCAGCTTTACCAGGCATGGAACCTAAAGATGACAAAAATACAAGTATCCTTTTTCAGATTATTTTTTTTTAAAATTTGTTTTTTAATTTATCTACGGTTAAACTTGGTACGGGCGGCCCAGAGTCAAATCTGCTGCGCGCTTTATTGGTACATTGAAGTTTACACATGGGATATGTACTCGCACAAAGAGTCAAATTCAGCTTAAGCCATAGGTCTATTGATCTTCATGCCCAAAAGGATATAAAGTTGATTTATGTTAAGTTCAAGTACATTCAAGTTTGATGATTATTTGATGATAGCTGAGACCAGTATTGCCATAACGGGTAAGTTGTAATTTTAATTTTGACTATTAATGTTCAAAGTTGTTCTTTTGTTTTGTTATCTTACCTGAGTTGCCGCAACGCACTGAATTGCTTTTTAAATATTTTTTGAAGTTCACCATGTCATATTTTGGCCACAAGTGTCTATGCTAAGTAATTGTGTTATCGAATCCACTGTCTGGTTCTTTTTGATGGATGGTTCACCTTATCACACATCTAATGATAGGCAGGGTCTTTTTTTTTTCGATGTCTGTCAAAATGGCTGAGCCAAAGTGTTCGCTTTCATTGTGATTCAGTTAATGCTCTATGTTTTGATTCGGTTGATCCTAGTGTTTTTGTGCTGTATTCTTACACACCTATCTAGGCTAGAGCAAGTCATGTCTTTGGTTATACAACTATTTTACTCAGTTGTTTTTTTTTTGTGAGGGGCATCCTAAAAGTCTTATCTGTTTTGTATTGTTTCATATGAAGATTTTCCCAAATTTTAATGAATTGAGAAAAGCATGTGCCGGCATTAAATAAGTCCTGACTTTAAACTTTTTCCTGCCATTGTAGCTTTCACAATTTAATACTCTGTTTCAAGTAAGAATGATGCTAGGTTTTGATTACTTTAACAGTAAATTATGTTGGATTAAAGTCGTGTCAGTTTAAACCACGAAAAGAGCAGTTATCCAAATATCGTGCATAGGTAGGGAAAGCATGAAATTTAAAGTCGACAAATGTTCCTTGACACTATTTTTTTACCCAGTGACAGAAGTAAAGTTGAAAGAAGCCCCCATAGTTGCTCCACCCCCTGAGGGAGGCTGTGCTTGTTGAAGACAGAAACATTAAATTTCAGAGAGGCCTGTGGTTTGGGTTATAAATTAGCTGTATCAAATAACAATGGAAAGCCTGGTAATCACATACATTGAGTGAAGTGGTGACTGCAAGGCATACAAAGGCAGCAGTAATGTACTATCTGGGTTATTGATTGAACTTAAGAATGCAAGAAAGTGAGAATCAGCTGATTTGCGATGAATACTTTATAATGATTACAAATGATCCTGAAATGTTTTTTGGCCTTAATTGCATTTACCAAACAATTTTCGGTATCACATTCATCTAACAAGCTTTCTTGCCCAGTGGTTACTTGATGGCATCTCTTGCATTAAATGTGTAATGATGAAAAGTTAAAATGCTATCACAGTTTAACTCTGAAAATGAAAAGATAGCCGACACGAAACAAAATGCTTGATTTTATCTAAGTTCATTTACCATGACCTGAATATACTTTTATTAAAATTTACACAAATTGCTCACTTTTGTAGTGAAAAAATGTGAAACCAGAAGGAAAAAAGAATGAGTTTCAATTGAAACAGACTGTTCTCAGTAATTATCAACATTAAATTTAGGATTTTTAAAATGTTGATCCTTCAAGGTTATAAAAATACACTAACCAATCAATAACTTATTGAACAGTAACTGATGAAGAAAAAAAGGGTTTATGGACCCAAATTTAAAAATATTTTTTGTCAGGAATTCAAGTTATCATCCTCTTGCATTTTAGTCAAACTAAATATTATTGAGTACTGATGCTAGTCCAACAATTAATTGTCCTGAAAAGTAATACTGAAAATTTAGCAGATGATAAAGTTGGAAATATAAAAAAAAGTTAATATGAAAACTTGAGAACAAATTCAAAGCAAGATAAATTACCAGTATTCCAAAATATATTTTATTCTTTGTTGATGATAAAATTCTTGGAACTTTTTTGTATTTAAAAAAAAAGCTTAACTTTATACAATGAATTAGTGTGTAAAATTTGACCAACCCTTTCCTCATGCCCGTCCACACTAGCTGTTCTCTGTTTTTCTAATATATAGTTTCACGCAATGGGACAACACTGTAATTCTGCATTCTAAGGACTTGTTAATTTAATGAGTTAAAAAAAATTTTTTTTTAATATAATGGGTTAAAAAAATGTTTAACTAACCATAAAAAATGGTTTTAAAAAAAGCTATATTTCACTCTGTATTTTTTAGTCAAAGCCTTTCCTAATGTATGTTATGTCGATTTCCAAATCCAATGTTCATCTGTAAGGTTTTTTAATTAGAATTTGCGACAACAAAATATAGATCCACACACATTTCTAAAGGTTTTTAATTAAATTTTATTGGTTAATTAACAGTTTGCATGTACATATCCATCCTAGTTATTTGAGCATCATGAATAATGTGTAGTGTTTAGTTTTGTTCATTTAAAACCGTTTAAGTTATTTTTGCTTTAGATATTGTGTTCCTTAACTGTTCCCTCAGTGCATGATGTGATCCTAAAGCCGGAGACCCCAGCTGAACCTCAGACACAAGAGGGAGGCTGTGCATGCTAAACATATCTCTCTTGTATGTGGCTCTCTTCCTAGCATTATCTCCTGATTTGTGATTCACCCATAATAGCATTGCCTGAGAACGACTCCATAGTTAACTGCCACCTGATCCACCTCCCTGGTGTCACCAGCCTTGTGTGTCTTACAACGGGATTCTCATCATTCCATTTTTATGTGCACCGGAGCAGCCCGGCTTCATGATTAATATTAAGTAGGTAGTAATCGGTGATATCGTTTAAGGATGAGCTTCCAGGGTGGTCCCAATAATAGTGACACTCTGGTATAGGCTGGGTCTTGTAATAACTTAACAAAACTCTGCTTTGTGGTTTTCCTCAGATTTCTTGACATTATTATGAGCTTGTTTTCTTGGTGATATAAAAAATTTAGTCAGGTATTTTACTTGTATGTAGGTTGTTTTGGGACCATCCTGGAGTACATTTTGAAATGTTAATGTATTTCATTTATATTTTTAAATAAAATACACTTTAAGGGGCTCCATTTTTTTGATAATTTTTTTAATGAACAGTTTTTGTCACAAACAACTGCCTGTTTTTCTTCTTCTTGACTGGCAATGAATCAATGTTTTAAATTGACATACATTTTGAAACATGGAAATTGACATCAAGAATGGTGAAAATACACTCACAAATAACTTATAATCCAAATCAAAACATGAGAATGGACAATTACAGCCAATATTTGAACACATCTGAGTTATGAAATTAAATTTTGCAAGGAATATCTGCTCCATAAATATTTATTACATGTGAACATATGCTTACAACCTTCCTGCATTACAAATGGACTAATATTTTATATATTAAATGCAACAAAACTAGATAACGGTAGCTTTAAAATCTGAAGCATGTTCTCTTATGTGTATGAGGAAAAGAATGTAAATTCTGTCCAATTTTGGCTTAATTAACATTTTTTTTTTCTGGTTGTGTAATTTTTCTTGAGTAGAATGACTATTGTAACGTTTAACATTATGAATGATTTATTACAAATTGCATTGAATTTCATATTTCATTTTTGTGTGTTAGTTTTTATTACATTACAAACAAACACCCATCCAATTGTGATTTTTTTGTTACATAGACTTATGCTCTGGATTTATGATCAAAATCTCATTCTTTCATTATTTTTTTCACTTGCCTCATGTCTGTCACCCATCAGTTTGGTTTCTTATAATTTATAATAAGAATCTCAAACCCCTTTGCCACATGTTCCCAGTGCATTGGCTGAGCTGGTGGATTTAATCAGTTTATGTCATGTACATAAGTATAGTGTTGGTTTGGATTAAAAACAAACATTTGAAATTATAAAAAACAGAAACCGCAACATTTCAAGCTTTGCTAGTAATAAATCCCTGAGCAAATTTTATTGTGTAGACTAGGGAATCTTTTTCGTAGTGTGTATTCCTATTTGATTACAATTGCCAGTTACAAAAATAGTTTTTAGTGTCTTTAGCCAAGATTTTTGTAGTGTCTATAGATAGATAGCGGATTCTTCGAGAGCTCACGTTTTCAATGTCTTTAGATAGATAAGGGATCCACTGACAACAAAGATTTCATTCAAGATTACCAAATTTTCAAACACCTATTAACAGATGATTTCACCCTTTTAGTTATTAAAGTCTTCAAAGGGTAAAGATTTTTGCTTATAAAGTTCACTTCTGGCTCTCCTATGAAATTCAGGCTACTTCATTGACATTTTTGAAATCATTGAACCTGATATATAATTTAAATGGCGAGTACTTAAAGTTGGCTAAACAAAACCAAGTATCATTTCACCTCAGCTCTTCTCTTCTAACTAAAACGTTTTCTTATTTCCCATACTTATTTTACATATGTAACATAGCTATAAACTATTCAGGCTGAACAAGTTTCTTGGGATTGTTATGTTTTTGGTTACTAAGACATACAATTTTCAAAGTGCTGGTTTCAGTCATTTGTTCGGTGTGGGTTTGTTGTCTACAAAAATAGGTTATCCTTACAATACACATGAAACTGTTCCACAAGTGCATTTCGCTTTACCCTGAAGGTAACCCTGGGTAGATAAAAACATGAAGACTAGACTTTAAATTTAAACAAGTTAAAGCGTCAAAGACCAACATTTAAAAAATTTTTAATCTGAAATTACTCGTGTATTATATTACATCATTATGGCAAGGTCTATGTCTATTAAAGAAAGGGATATATTAATCATACAATTCCTTTTATTTAATTTTGAAAAGCTGATCTATGTGCATACTCATAACCCAAGACTAACTGGTTGATTTTCAGTGTTTGTTTGATTGCAAATATATTGAGAGTGCAATCAGTGCTGCTTTATGAATGATGATATACCGTATTTATTGGCTAAAACGCGCACTTTTTCTCCCCCAAAATAGGGGGCAAATCATGTGTGCGTGTTATACGCCAATATGTTAGTTTTTTTCCCTGAAATTTCCTGCTTACATTGAGGTGCGTGTTATACGCCAATAAATACGGTACATTATGGTGTTTTTTCCCCCCACTTATATTAACTTAAAATTAAACTTTTAATTGATTTTAATTTCACTCATGTTTTTTTTTATGTACATTTTTCTTCTATATTCTCATTCATCTGTCATTTAAGAAATGAAAACCAATACAAGAATTTCCTGCCAGAAGTTCACAGAAATCAGATGTTATCAAAATGGGGAGGACATAATTATGAGCTACTCTTGCTTTAGTTTTCATTCCTTTTTTAACAAGAACACCTTTTAAATTACATATTTTATTCGAGATGCTTTTTTTAATAAAAAAAAGGAAATTCTGTCACATCCAACTTATCCCTCTGTTAGAACTTTAAGGACAATATTATTTTAAAGATTGCATATTTTCCAAGGGAATTGTGTTTTTTGCAGGAGTAGATTTATTTTTTAAACTGGCGAGTGCAAATTATGTCATTAATTTGTCTTCTATTTATTTTCAATTTCTTTGTACATAAAATGTTAATGAGGGTGTATTGTTTTGGATATATTGGTATTATAACATAGCACTAATGTGTGTTTTTGGTACTGTGGATAGTTAGCAGGAAGCAGAATTAATTTATTTGTTTGATTGAAATTAATTATTGAGTATATTAAGAATAAAAACCAAAAAAATGAAAATAGATCATTTTCCCTTAGCAATGGTCGTAGCATTCATGAATGTTATCTCTGTCTTGTAATGATGTTTTCGCTACATTCTTTTTTAACAAAACGCTAAGTTCATAGAATTGTTTTTAAAAAAACATGCTGTCTTTGTCTTTCTTGCAGTTTGAATGTTTCAGGTGAACTACTCCACTATTAACAGTGTGGTGAAAGTTATTTGAACAAAAAACAACAAAACAAAATAAGAATTTGGGGAGTTTTATAAAAAGTAAATGTGAAATTAGTAATGACTGAAGGGCATGGATTTTTACCATTTTTACACTGTGAGGTGTCTTAACACTGCCTTTTGTAGAATCAGGTTGTCTGTCTTTATGCAAGTTAGATTGTCTGTCGCATGGAATTTTTTAGAAGTGGTTCTCAACCCGCATGGCCTGAGAATTAAATAGTCATCACACATGTCCACGTATTTTTTCTTCTTTAATCATGCTAACGTTAAGGGTTGTATCCATATTAAAAGGTGGGGAGGGGGTGGGTGGGTGTAAGGTAATAGGACACATGAAAATAGGTAACATATTCATTAGACTAGCACAGAGCTCATGAAATGTAATTATACTTGTAGACAAACTTCTAAAAGATACCATGACAGTATATGGGATCGTATTTGATTTGAGGTGATAAGCCACAAACTAATGATGCATTCTCCGATGAAGGAGGCTGAGAACTGCTGTTGTAGTGTCTGCTTCCCCCCCCCCTCTTTGTAAACCTATAATGTATTATACATGTTGGCCAATCTGTGCTTTGTGTTGTTTGCTTATGTTACAATGTATCATTTGAGGGATTTATTTATTAAACATTTCATTTACACTAGTTGCAATTTTATTTTTTAAAGTTCATATTAAAAAAAAAATTGTTTAGTAACGCAAAACTATTTTCAGGATCTAGCTTGCCAACTGACTACTAACAACTGACAACTGATCTGTGTTTATTGCTAGATTTTTCCTTTTCAGATGTCATTTTTTTCCCCCTTCCTTAAATGTAATATTATAATACAGTACTCAAGTTTTTTGTTGGCCCTATGCCTGCTATTAAAAACAAAGAAAGCCCAATAATATCACCGCCTTTGCAGATACACAATTTTGAATGATGCCACAAGGTAAATGGTCATGACACTCACTTTTGATCATTCTATAAAGTTTTTGAAATAAATTTCCTGGTCTTGAGTGATTTTACTGTAAGTCCTGGGACTTCTGACCACGGTCACTGTTGTTTAAGAAAGGCCATTGGTGTATTTGTATCCATCAACAAACTTAAATGTTTTCAAATCACTGGGTCTTCTTACTCAACGGCCACGGGTTAATACTGTTTTAAAGAAGGGCCATCAACAATCGTTTGGAAGAAATTAGCCTAAATCTAAATGCAATTAGCCTAAATCTAAATGCAATTAGCCTAAATCTAAATGAAATTAGCCTAAATCTAAATGCAATTAGCCTAAATCTAAATGCAATACGGGTTGCACATTTTTTCTCCATTAAAATGTGTCTTCATTAAACTTCAAATGGATATCGTCCCCACTTATCTATCAGGTATTACAGTTAAAAGTTATTTTTAAAAATATTAGTATTGAGGTGTAGCTTCTTAGTATAAGTGACTACCGGTAACGGTACTTTAAAAAAAAAAACAAATATCATTAGTACTTTTTTTTTTAAACCTTATGCCAATAAAATGATGTGTATTTTATACGATTTTATGTTTCTTTAGTTTTGTCAATTTATTTGTTGAGTTTGCTTGTTGATGCTTTATTCGGTGTTATATGTTGGCTTTTACGTTGAATTGCATGGTACACATTTAAATTTAGTCATAGAAGTTGTTCACTTCTTGCATGCATACTATTTATCGGACAGGTTCCCAACCCTTTTTAATGTTGCCACCTATTTTAAAGTAGCAAAGACACCCGCGTCTCCCATAAAGACGACTAAAAGAAAGCAAATCAAAATTAGATGTGTCACCATAAAATAATTAAAACTGAGTTTAACATAAATATTTAATACGATGAATGAAGTTGTTACAGGTTAACACGCTTCCAAATTCGTGTTTAATCTGTTATCGTTATCAAATGAAGTTGAAGTGTTTAAAATCTATTCTTACTCATACGATGATTTATTGAAGCGTATAGGAGAAGACATATTATGATGACACCCCCTCTCCCCCCCCCCCAAGAAAATCCCTGCAACACCGCTTTGGGTGGCAAACCCATAGGTTGGGATTCCATGGTTTATCAGCTATTAACAAATGAAGTTGAAGTGTTTAAAATCTATTCTTACTCATTACGTGATTTATTTAAGCGTATAGGAGAAGACATATTATGATGACCCCCCCCCCCCCCCCCCCCCCCAAGAAAATCCCTGCAACACCGCTTTGGGTGGCAAACCCATAGGTTGGGATTCCATGGTTTATCAGCTATCTTAGTCTAAGAGCTGTATTTTTGATTTATGCACATATGATTACATAAATTATGATAAATATATTTTTAAGTTATCAAACACTACCAATGAACACTATGATGATAGCAACATTTGTTGGGATTTAAAATATATAATCCATAACAGTTACTACTATTATAAGAAGTTAACAAACTAATTACACTAACGTTGATTTTGACCTCGTAAATTGATTTATTGTCACTATAGATTTATTAAGACTAAACTAAAAAAAAAATCAATGAAATCTCAGGCTATAAACAAGTTCCAATGGATACTGACCTGAACTACTGTAGTCAATCCATGTAGGGGCGGACATGTGGTGACACTAACCATTAGATGGCATTTTGGGACCGTTCAATCTAGGATTTTACACGTAAGACTAGAAAAGTAGAGAATTCTTTAGTGCGGCTTTCACTATCAAGTCGCTTTAGTTTAAGAACACACGTAGTATCAATGACAGAAATAAAACTGTTTTGGTACCGGTACGTGATAAAATTATCACAAAATGTGAATTAAACCTAGAAATTGAATGAAAACTATTCCAATTTCATTTTTAAAAAAACAAAAAACTACGTGAATTTACGTTATTGAGCATTCATTTCATTAAATTATTAAGCAAAAATTTATTTTGACGAATGAATTAAGAGATCTCTTTCAAAACAATAATATAACCATGGCCATATAGTAAAAAAAAAAAATTGGGGGGGGGGGCACCCCGAGCACAAAAAAAATACCCCCCCCCCAAAAAAAATTGTACCGGTATTTTAATAATTTTGGGAGGTGAAAAAAAAAAAAAAAAACCATGGCCAAAAAAAAAAAAAAAAAAATTGGGGGGGGGGGGCACCCCGAGCACAAAAAAAATACCCCCCCCCCAAGAAAATATGTACCGGTATATTAATATATTTGGGAGGTGGGTGCCCTAAACTTAGCCTTTCCACGCCCCTGATTATGATCTTAACGTACCCCTTTATATGATCGAGAAGTAAAATGATAAAATTGTTTGTTAGTTTTGTAAGTAGCTATATGTGATCGACGGACCATAAAGCTTTTGCGATCCTTAAATGTTGCCAACTGTCACTCCCCCTTCCTGTTTTACTTAATTAAGTGAGTCGCCCTTCTTTTGGTACCTTGTTGCTCCTTAACTGCTTGCTCTCAGACATAGAACTAAAGCCTAAAGAACCGATGATGGAGGTCACTGACCAGGAGGGACAATGCTCCTGCCTGTTGTAAACACTGCTCCTGCTAGACCACACCACAGCTGAATCTCAACACGTCGAAAGCCGATCACAAACTATTCCAATTCATTTTGTGCTTTTTTGTGGGTTATTTAAATACATGTACGTTTAAAAAAAAAAAAAAATTACCTATGCTTGTTTTCCTAATGATATTGTAGAATACAACTTGTTACGAACGGTTGAAAAAAAAAAACAACAACCAACCACACCAATAGTTGGTGATCAGCACTGGAGATGGGATATTACATACCTTGTCCCTATGGTTGTAAGGAAAGTAGTGTAATACTAGTACTCTAGTTGTGGGTGGAAGGGTACTGGCATTTGGGTTCATTGGTGGTATGTGCACTTGGGGCGCCAATTCCTAAATCCACCCATGGGACTTTAGCATATACTCCATCAATCAAAATCAAATTGACAGAGCTGTCTCCCATTAAATCTTCTTTGATCAAACATGCCGAGGGAGTTATCTCCTCGTAGTCTTCTTTGATAAAATGAATTTCGAAGTGATCTCCCCTTGAATTATCCCGTTTCCATGACTGATACTGGTACTGCGTAGCAACATACATCGTCTGCTCAAATAAATCTGAATCAAGATGAGGGAGTGGGGTCGGGGTGCGCAAGTGACAGAATCCGTGGAATAGTCGCTTTTGAGTAAATTAATACATATATATTAATTAATTAATTTATATATCATTATATATATTAACTAATATATTTAACCATGATTGGCTGTCATATTAAGTTAGCCTAAAATATGAGCCTGATAATGTTTGAAGTTGAGAATAGGCAGACATCTTGACTTAAGACTTAAGGTAAACAAAAAAATGTAAATCTTCTTTTGAGCACACACTTTTTTTTTGTACGGTACGTCACATAAATTTAATCTGAATCAAAAAATTGAATGTATTTTTGGCTTAAAAAGGTGATCCATGGATTCTGTTATTTAAGGTTTTTCATCCATTTATGTAATATACATCCATATTTATAACATGTCCATTTATTTGTTTATTAGAAGGCCACTACACATGTCATCATCTCATGGATGTCAATTATCAAGTTCTATTTTACTTTATAGATCGGTGTTTCTAACATTTCTTGACTCCTTCCCAAGCCCGTTGGGCAGTATGTACATTTGTCCTTAAGCAACATCTGTCAGTCACACATAATGATATAAACATCCCCTAAATCACAAATAAAATAAAAAAAGGCTGCGACTATTCGCACCCGGGTACCAGAAGTGAGAGGTTGGGATTAAAGAACTATTTAAACTATTATTATTGGGTTTGTAAGACATGAGGTATCAAATGAAAGACAGTTGAATGGACTATATGTCTGTAATCTTGCTTCTTCAGGTGAACTAAAATAAACTACCACAAATGACATCCGAATAGCATTGAGTCTAAAGGGACCCGGTTCCGAATGGCGGCGCTGCGTGTCCTGGTCCATTTTGACTCACTTCGATGAAAACAACAACCCACATATCTTTTACGAGAACTTTCAAAATTATCTTTAAGTCAACTACTTGCACCAAAGCGCACTTCGCTTGGGGGGGGGGGGGGGGGCGGTTTACATTGAAATTTAACCATACTTTTGAATAACTTTGCAGAGTTTGCGTATGACAAAACACACACACACACACAAAACCAACACAACGTTTGACTTCTCTTAATGATTGATAAGTCCATCTATGTTGAAAACACACATTTCGTATTATGTCTATATGTGCAATCGGTAAGATTACCGAAAGCTTTAATTATTTATCTAGTTCAGAGAGCTCCAGCTGGTATGCCTACTTCATACACAGAAATCGCCTCACTGCACCTTATATACTAAAAATGCCTCAAAATTATCGCAAACAATTGATCCATCATGGACGACCCGCCCCTCCGTTTTCCGGGAATTCATGTTTTTTTTTAGCAGAGTAAATGGAACATTCTGTCATGTGACTGGCTGTCTCACTAGGCAAATCCTTGCATTCTACACCCAGGGTCGTATTAACCATAAGGCTGACTAATCAGAAGCCTATGGGGCCCACCGAGAGCAGGGAGGGGGGGGCCTTGCAACATATAGCCACGCCATGGCAATGTGTCGTGATCGAAAGTTCCACATTTTCGAGGGGCCCAACGAAGCTTGAAGCCGGTTTGGGGGGGGGGGGGCTGCCATGGGTTAATACGACACAGCTAAACAATCGGGTACGAACTGAGAAGTACTGATGTCATCAAATTCTATAATTGTGATATCATTGTTTTAAAAACATGTTCTGCTTTTTGTCACACGTTTTCTGCTTGAAACACGTTTGTACAGCGTTATTTCTGCTGCATTTTTTAGCTAACAATTTATAGTCCGTTTTACGAACAACGTTATCTTATTTAAAAGAAACAACATTTTTTTTTTATTTGGTCCTAATCTTATAATATATTCTAGCAATAACATNACAAATTGAACAAATGGAAATATTTGACAATGAAATGAAATCGATTCAAGTCATGTAAGGTGAGATAATCGCATCGTCATTTCATACTATGCAGGGTGCAGTCCCTTTTTTATATTTTTTTTACCTGGTTTCGCCACTGTCTTGAAAGGGTTAACCCCCCCCCCCCTTTCCTTTTTTTTTGTGTATATCTAATGGTGAGTTAACTTTTAAAACCAGATCAGCGATATAGAAGGTTTTACAAAAGGATCACAATCAGATCGAGTCCAGCTGTCAAGTGTAGCCAAGTTTTGTTATAGCGTAGGCTATTCATGTTGTGGTCATTGAACTGGAAACTCTGTGGCTACGCTAGCTCGATAAATGTGTATGCTATTTGTACTATTTATACAATGTGCAATCATCAGTCTTTCTGGATGTCATTCCAGTGAATGAATGTAGCTTTGTAGAACGCATTTTAAACCCTTAATTGATCAGAAAAACATTCTAGGAAATATCTTTATAATCTCAAACACGAAATGGAGAAACCGGTCGAATGGCAGAAAAGAAAGGAGCGTTTGTGGGTGGGGGTGGGGGGTAAATGCTTTCCGAGTGGCAATTTAGTCAGAGGTTGAGTAAGAGAGGGGGTGGGGGAAAGGAGAAGATGGGAGCAGGGCCGGCGCTAGGGAGTAACGAACGGTGCGACCGCCAAAGGCCTCGCGTGTGTTTGAGGCGGCCCCATCCAGCGCATCTCTTATAATATCATTATAGGATTAATGTTTGCCAGGTCGTACCTATTCCATGGCTGGTAATGTCCAGCCGACACAGTGGTCGTGGGTGATCGGGGCCCGAAAACACCTCTGCCCGGACCTGCGACATGATTGGCAACAATGGAGCCGCAATGAGGGTAATCATTTGGCTCAGTCAGGGCAATGCAACTGTAACAGAAGCAAATATAAATGTGGGACACTATGAGAGGCAGGAGGGGAACCCATGAAGGAAAAAACAAAACATGGGAGTAAAATTTTTGCAATTCAATTTTAACAGTATTCATGAGGAACCCCCAACCCCCACCCTTTTTTTTTTACCCCAAGCCCCTTTACCATAAGTTACGCAATGATTTTAATTTTATAAAAAATCTTTATCAGGGGGGTACAAGCAGTGGAGGCCACCGCAACCGATTTTGTCTCTTTTAAGTAGCGTTCTTCTCAATATAGCCTCTGGAATTTTTTCCCCCGCTTCACAACAGCGTTTTTTTTTCTTCCAGTTTCCTGCAATACTGTTTCCGGCCATTTTTGTGTGGGTGTCCATGTTTGCTTGGCAGGTGCTGTATCGAATAGGCCTGGCATTTTTAATATTACACTCAGTTACGATGTGAACATTATTTTATACGTGTGTATGCCATGGCCATTTGTTTTATGATATGTGTTAATGCCATGTCTCACGCTTACATAGCCAATGGCTGAGCCGTAATTAAAACCAATGTCTTTAAAACCAAAATGGATTTGTTGGTCAATTTTGTTTTATTGTTGTTGTTTTTTTTTTTTCGTTTTTTTTTTTGGTTTGTTTGTAAATTTTTATGCTATTTTTTGTTATGTTCCACCCCCCACGTTTCCCTTGAGGATCTCTCTACAGTGGCGCACCCAGATTTCGGTCCGATGTGCTACCAGCATGCAGTGGCGTAGGAAGCGGGGTGCGGTGAGGGTGTTTCGCCTCTGGCGGCATTGTTTTTCTTCTTTACATGTATATTGGAAAAAAAAAAGGGGGGGAGGTCATTTTTGGCCAACTGAAGAGGTTTTTTTCGTGGAAGGGGCGGAAAAAATGATTGGTCGGCCACCGGGTGGCACTAACCCTGTATCAACGCTTCCGCCAATACGACCCCTTCTGGAAGTTCATTATTCAATTTCCCGAAATTTGCCTGAACCACAAAATTTTTACCCCCCCCCCCCTCATAAATAAAATTAAAGCTAGAAATCCAAGAGGTAGGTATCATAACGATCACGTACACAGCATATAACGAAACATACAGGTAATAGTGAAACTCACGCATCGGGAACGCGCACGGACGTTGGTGCACAGTGCGCTTCACCGNGTGGCACTAACCCTGTATCACCGCTACCGCCAATAGCCCCCCTTCTGGAAGTTCATTATTCAATTTCCCGAAATTTGCCTGAACCACAAAATTTTTACCCCCCCCCCCTCATAAATAAAATTAAAGCTAGAAATCCAAGAGGTAGGTATCATAACGATCACGTACACAGCATATAACGAAACATACAGGTAATAGTGAAACTCACGCATCGGGAACGCGCACGGACGTTGGTGCACAGTGCGCTTCACCGGCCGTCACGTGTTCCCAGGAGTGAAGAGGAAGATAGAGTGGAACCCCGCTATGACGCGCCCCGCCATAACGCGAAGTCGGATATAAAGCGGTCGTAGCATGGGTCCCGAAATTTGAAATTCATTTACTCCATCAGGCGTAAGTTCTTTGAAAATTTTATCCACTGCTTGGAAAGCCCTTTTTTAAAGCGAAAAAAAATCACAACTTTTCAAAATATCGTAGAAAATGAGCCCCTAAACGCACCACGTTTTAACTAGTATCAAAATTAATCCGAAAACGAGGCTTTCTTCCGGTAGAACTATAAATAGTAATACGAAAGGGATTTCCGCTGTGCTAAGAACGAAAGTAGACAACAAGTAGAAGAGAAAACTGGTTTCATTCGGTTTTTAAATTGTTAAGCCAAAGTCAAAGTAAACATAAAATATTGTCAAACCGCGCATTAACGCAACCCCGCTTTTAACGCGATCCGATCTTACGGACCCCGATCATCGCGTTATAGCGGGGTTCCACTGTACGTAGGGCCGTGTTCGTTATTCTAAATGGGTCTCTCGAGACGGGAGAGAAAAAAAAATAAAGAAATATTAATTGTTGAGAATTATTTTCTCTCACGATTAAGTAATTGGAAAGCAAGGGGTGTCGAACTCAAATCGCTGAGCGGGCCAAACCACAAATCACATGCAAGGTTGTGGGCCGAGCAGGATAAACATTCAATAAGCGGAAATTAATCTTTTTAAAAAAAAAAAAAAAAGACATTTATATTAATTTATTTAGGGATTTTTTTATATAACGCTTACCTTAAAACTATAAGTGCTTTAAAATTATTAAAAACATGTAAACTAAGTAAAATAAAAATGAGACACTAGAATAATTTTTATATAGCGCTTACCTTAAAGCTCTAAGTGCTTTACAATTATTAAAAACATGTAAACTAAGTAAAATAAAAATGAGACACTAGGATAGTAACTACTATACTATAGAAACAATTAAAATGGCTATAAAACGAGGACACTTTGGTACGTTTTGGCCTATAATACAGGATCAACCCGAGACAGAAAATGATACAGGGCAAGGAGGGTGCATCACAGGTCATAGGCGGAATTTAACAGATGGGTTTATTAGGGACTTTTTAAAAGTGGACGAGGTTTCACAATGACGGATATGGAAGGGGAGCTGGTTCCAGAACGTGGGCCCATGGAAGTAGAAGGAGCGTTCACCGATGGTCTTAGTTTTTGTTCTTATATAAATGAAAACAGATTTTTTAAATATAATTAAAAATCATTGCCATACCCATTTTCGTTCTTATGTTAATTTGTCAGAGCTGGATGTCTGGCACATTTTCTTGGCTACAAAAACAAGTAAGTTCGTTTATGTTGGGAGTAACGTTCTGTGTCATTGAGATTCTCACGATGAACTGCAAGTGTTCACCAGTGAGACGACTAATGTGTGATGTTTTGTTAATCTCCATCACAGAAAACAGCTGCTTACACCAAACATGCTCAAGGTTCGAGCCGCATGTAGACGGAGCTGGGGCATCTCTTCAGGAAATAAACGAGTGAACTGTGCAGAACCAAATGTGTCGTACTTTGCCGTTAGTGTCCCATTACAAATATCTCTATTAGCTCCATCTACAAATGTACAAGTGCAGTTTCCATGTCTATGACAAATGGGTTACGAAACAGCTCGTAATTACATTTCTGTGCTTCAAAGTCAATAAAGCGCTGTGCGAACTCGACGCGAAGTAAGCTAAGTTTTACAGCATAGCGTGCATTGGGAAACACCATAGGGTTGACTTGGATATAACTGTACACCGGTCAAGACCTCGCGGGCCTGATGTAATTGTTCGGCGGGCCGGATGTGGCCCGCGGGCCTTGAGTTTGACACATGTGAAATGTAAAGGGGGACTGTTTTTTAAATGGATCTCTTGCGACGGCAGGGGGGAAAAAGGGAATTCATTGTTGACCATTATTTTCTCTCATGTGTAAATCATCGTAAAGGGTGACTGTTTTAAACAAAATAATAATATGGAAGAAAATATATGTTTTAATAAGATGGCTGCCAAGTGAGGTGTCGTTCGCAAATTACGTCACGCTCAGGGGGAGGGGGGTCGAGAATCAGTGACACTTTGTGATGGGGGATGGGAGGGGGTCTAAAAAAATCTTTATTCAATTAATTTTAAAAACATTAATTTGAGGTCGAAATTGCCTCAGGTATTATAGGTACTATGAAACTCAGTCGCTCACGCCCTTTGCGCATATCGAAAAATGACGCAAAAGCTGTTATGGTCATGTTACATACGACCCGGGGATGACTTCGTTGTTTTGCGTTTGACGTCACAGTTTTCGAATAACGCAACACCTTAATCCATGATGGGAAGATGGTAAAGAATAAAATACAATCTTAGTTTGGTTATGAAAATTTTATGTTAGGGAGTGATGTCCTACATTGTGAAGAAACTTTGCCGATCCCTTGCACCGCGTTAATTCCTATAGACTCACTTAGTATTAGAGACTACATACATGCATAACATAAACACTTTGTCTTTTATGGTATCCTTCTTTGTTTCAACTGTTCTTCCTCTGCTCAGCCATGCAGGTAAAAACACATGTTTAGTGCTTGAGTGGTGTCATTAGTTTCGACGTGCCGTCAAATAAAAATGGTTGAACATGGCAGCGGCTTTGATAATATACAATTTTTAATACCATAAAAATACAGTTATAAGTTCCAAGGAAAAAAAAGATCACTTTCTCCATAATCGCATTATGAAATGGAAACTTCTTGATCAGAATAAATCTTTGTTGAGAATTAAAACATATTTGTTTGACATGACCACAAATCCGGAACTTTTCATTTGCTGCTGTAATGTTGTGGTGACTAGACTATTGCTTTCATATGTCAATACCCCCCCCCCTATATCTAGCACTTTCACCCTCTCTCTCTCTCTCTAACTCTCTCTCTCACTCTTTTTTATTATCTTATTCTCTCTAACTCTCAATTTAACTCTCTCACTCTCTCTAACCCCATCTCTCTCTCTAACTTTCATTAACTCTCTCTCTAACTCTCATTAACTCTCTCTCTAACTCTCCCCTAACTCTCTCCCTAACTCTCTCCCTAACTATTCTCTCTAAAATTCTCTCTCTCTAAGTCTTTCTCCCAATAACTCTCTCAAACTCGTTCTCTTTAAATTTCATTCTCTCTCTCTCTCTCTTTTTTATTATCTTATTCTCTTTAACTCCCCCTCTCTCTCTCTCTCTCTCTCTCTCTCTTATTATTTATTTTTTAACCCCGCCCCTGCTCATGCGTGCTTTCAACTGTTGCACCCCGACACCAAGATTTTTTAGCATTGTCATCAGCTCCTGTCTAAACTTCGGACTGGTCAAGCAGTAGAGGAATAAATGTATGGCGTTGTTGATGTACTGTAGAATGTTGACCACCGCCCAGGCCAGGAACAGCTGCGCGTTCACCTGGTCGTCTGCTCCCCGCGCCCAGTAGGTGTAGCCGACGATGAATATGACGATGGGCGCGTTGAGCACCCAGAATGTGACGGTGACCACGAGGAGTGTCGTGCTCACGTTCGAAGTGTTCCGCCTCGACGACGTTGCGGGCTGGGGCTCGCCGCTCACTGCGCTGGCTGCACCGTGTTTGCTTGTAGGAGGTTCGCGCGTGGGCGCGACCTCAGCCTCTCCCGGCGCACGCGTCACGACACTGCCGCCGCCGCCATTTTGATACGCGTGGCCATCTTTAGCCTCGCCGACTTCCTTATTCGAGACATCAGTATCTGCGCCCATGGTGTCAATGTCGCTGATCTCATTCGGGGCGCCGACGTCATTGGCATGAATCTGGCCGCGTATTTTCCCGCTTTCACATTTAGGTATACCTTCTTCATGACACATGTTAGGAATATTCCCGCGCACGTGTGTGCTTTCGCATACACTTCCGTCACGTAACAGATCTGGGCGCAATGTCTCAGCAGAAGTTGCATGATTGGATTTCTTGATGTTCTCACTTGTACCCCGCAACGGATGCACTTTACAGGAATGGGATGTCCTCGTCTTGATGAGCGAGCGGACCTTACTCTTCACGGGCCGTGGCTCTGCTCCTAGCAGAATGTCTTCGTCTGCCCCGTCAAAAGCAAAAGTTGCGCTCACGCTAGAGGGCGACACCACCGGTTTGGGATCCGGTGGTAATGGATAATCGGGAATACCCGAATTTGAGGGCCAACCCCGAAAATGTCCGCCCGTGTGTGAGTCTTTGTCAACCTTTGACCTGGATTTTGACATATCCAGGTCACGCTTTGTGGATATTCCCAAAGCTATTTTAGTCTCATTATTAATTTTGTCACGCGATTCAAAGTTTAAAAGATCAGGGCATGGACGATCATTAATGAAGTCGTCTGCTCCGCCGGGAATGGAAAGTAAGCCAAGAGGAATGGTGTCATGACCGGAGGACTTAAGAGTGCGACATTGAGTACTGGCGTGGTAAGACTTGGGATGTAGAAGATCAAACGCAGCTCCGTTCGAAGAAGATGTTTCCTTGTGTGGAGACGTGACGCGTGACTCAAAACGTGTCTCCTGCGTCACCGTTAAAAACGCGCCCCCACCGTTCGTGCAATTATTTTTGGTAGCACGCATGTGTTGTGTGCCGTCAGACTTTTGTGGCAACACATCGGACGCAGTGCGCAAATCATCGGGAAATCCCAATATCATGTGCGAATTCGCGCACTTCTCCGAGACTGGCTCGTCCTTTGCTGCCGTCAGAATGACATCGTTGGACTGCGTGCTGACCTGTCGCCGTGTCTTGAGTGCGGACTTCGACCGGCTCCTTCTGAAGAACAGTCGTTTGGCGTGCGACTTCATGTTCCTCTCCGACCGGACCAGCTGCTGTATGATGATGCCATTTGAAATCATCATGAACAGGAACGGGAACAGACAGTAGACGCAAAGGTCTATCCAGGGCCAGACGTTCTCAACAAACCTGAAGATGGACGGAGGCACATACAGTTAGCAGTGGTATATACGGGGGGGGGGGGGGGGGGGGGGGGTCCTTCCCCGGGGTTTTTTGCAACATTTTTTTTAAACTTTTTTTTTTTTTTTTAAAGAAAAAGAAGGAGAGAGAGAGAGAGAGAGAGAGAGAGAGAGAGAGAGAGAGAGAGAGAGCGATGCGTGGGAAAAAAAAAACTTTGACTGTATATTTTGTTGACGCCCGAGGGTACCATTTCGGAGTAGCAAAACACATGATTCTTTGTGTACCAATTTCAGTAGCGCTGCAGATGGCGCTTAATTCACCAAAGGAAGTTCCCGATAACTGCACTAAATGTAATTTTGTTTTGCTAAATACCGCAAGTGCGCCTGGTGCGTAATATTTTCTTTTGTTTTACGGAAATAGTTGATGTCATAAATCTGAGGGTGTAAAAGTGGGGTGGGAGATTAAAATATTTTAATATAGTTCAGGGCCAGCGGCGTACCAAATTGGGAATCTTACAAAGTGTGTTACTTGAATTCATGTTTTGTCCAAAAAAAAAACTTCATTAGTAGAAGGGAAGTTAAACGCATTGCCGCCGCCATTGTCTGGTGGGCTATAGCCAGTTGGTTTATGTTTCCGAACTGAATGTCTCTGGCAGCACTAGGTCTCAAAAGGGAAATAACAATGTTAAGCATTGTGGACATTGGCCTGGTGGAACCGATTGATATGACTGACATTTTTAAAAAAAAATGAAATGCATTCCAAATTTTTTAATTCTTCTTTTATCCTAGTTTAAACTTGACTTTATTTAACGTTGAGTACGTGAAGTGAGATGTTGACCGCCCTGCCGATTGATGGTTGCGCCGTCATTTCAAGCCATTGCAATGTTTTCGCTACCAGCCTCCCCAATGTAACACACGCTTACACTCATCACACGCCTTATGGGGGTCTGAATAACCCTTAAGGACGACTGTACCGGCAGTAAATCTTTCCTCCACCACGTGCGTCCACTAATTACCTTACTGATAAACGGATGCAATTAGCAATAAGATTTGTAATCGACTACTCGTAAATGCTTGTGGTGGATACTGAGAAGTCTCCGTTACGCGGCTAGGCATTTTTAAACTCAAAAGACATTCAGTTATTTTGGATTTTTTCTAAAAGCCCCGTTTCGATCCCATCGAAGTTTTTTTATTTACCTGACGGTGAAAGGAGAGCTGGTCACCGCGTAGCATTTCATGCCCCCGTTGCTGTAGATGCGGTTGTGCTCGTCCCCCTCCAGCTGGTAGGTCCAGAAGAAGTGCAGGTTGACGAGGCCGACCGCCGCAGCTATCGCGGTCACCGTGATGCGTGCGTTGCGGATGGTGCACCAGATCTTGGCGCGGTGCGGCCAGGTCACGTACAGGCAGCGGTCCACCGAGACGGCCACAAGAATCCAAGCTGGGGGGGGGGCAGGACAGAAAGGATGCCAGCGTGTTACATAATGAAACGACCCCTAAAATCAAAGTTTTTGGTATAAATCCTTTTTAAATGTAATATCGAGCATTGGGGGTTGGGGATAAAAAATTTGATGGAAAAAAATCCTATTTATACAAGTAACGCACTTTGTAATAAACCCTATAAATGCCCCCCCCCCCCGCACCCCATACCCCATCCAAGGCTCTCTACAGTACATTTTTGTGTCACGTTTCAGTTCGATAGGTTGACGGGAAGTGGGTCAATTAGCATCTGAAAATTGTGCCCATTCGCCAGCCAGCCACCCATGAACGAAAGGGAAGTTAATGTAAGGTATTTAAAAAATCGGCCGAAGGGCACGTGCCCAAATGAGAACTGGATCTAAATGACGATACATACAAAAATACATATTTATTTCCTGTGCCTGTGCGGGGTTTTCAAGCTTGTTTTTTTTAAATTTTAAATACATTTTTTTCCGGTTTATCCTCCCATCCCAGAAAATCTGGGAAAAAAATTTTAGAATGCCAATTTTCTCAACAGCCGTTGTTTGGGCTGTTGTTATAATCGCGTTGAATAGTCTCGTTTATTACACTGAGCGTGATGACAAAACTGTTGATACAATGAGACCAAAAAAGACTTACGAGATGATGGGTCGGCCCGGAGTTAAGGACACCCCCCTGACAGCTGTAGAACTAACCACCATTGTTAAATTGGTCATTGGTAGGAGCACGCCATGCCTTACCCTTCTCATAATCTTTTTTTAAAAAACAATTTTATTTTTTTTTTTGGTTGAAAAGATTGAAAAATTGATTTTAATTTCCTGTGCTACACGTGTGTACCACTTGTCACGACTAATTGTGTTAGGTTTGTGTCATGAACTTACAGCTAGCACGTGACCGCGCACAGTTCAACACTGTGGGGGAGGGGAGGGAGAGGGGAGGGGGTTGGGCTCAGCTGAATTAAACAAAGTTCTTGACCCGTTCACAGGCACAGGCATTACACATGATATCTACCTGAACAATCCAGAGAGATATACACGACAAAAGTGTGCAGTTTACAAGCTGCGTCTGAATGATGGCGTATGTAGATGTCGTGTGCGTGCTCCAACCACAGTCTGAAGAAACAAAAGTAATGTTCTTTTTAAAAAAAACAACAACAAAACAAACAACAACACACCAACAAACTTATTTCAGAATCCGTAAGACAATTTGGCTTGAAGGACCTTCATAACAGTTGTGCCAAAATATATGTTTATAACCTTCCAGAGAATAAAAGTCACAGCATTTCCATAAGTTTTAAATGTGTAACCAATACACAGGGCTTCATTTTAAAAGTCTCCATTGCCTACGTCACGATCAGACATTGATTCGCGAACCTTGGGAACCAGTGAATGGGGATTTTAAAAAAATCAATTAAAAAAATTGCCATTGGCTATCATCCAGAGGCGTCGCGTGACTTTTGGAGGTCCTCCTTGCCATTCAATGCAATTTAAAATAATTTCCATTAATTTTTTTTCCACATTACAACTTTTAGATGCTCTTAAAAAGCCGAGGTCCTCTGCCATCAGAGACGCCACTTGTGTTTTTAAAAAGACAAACAGATTCTTGTAGTGACCTGACAAGTCCGGTGTACAGCACCATGATGTCCGTGACAGCCAGCACGGCCAGGTAGAACATCGTCGTCTGACTCCTCATGGACTTCCGACACAAGACGAGAAGAGACAAGACGCTGCCGATGGTCCCTGCAGAAGCAGGTCACCATCATTAGGTCATCGTTTGTAGGGAACACTTACACATTCATCAATCACTTTTAGGGGATTAAGATTAATATAAAGAATCTTTACTTGGATAAGTCTGAGAATAAAGGGAAACTTATCACGTTTCTTTGTTTTCGGAACTTATTAAAAAGGAACTTAATTTTGTTTAAGAATACTTGAACTTGTTTAAGAATACTTGCATGTGTTAAAGAATAAATTCATGTGTTAAGAAATACTTGCATGTGTTCAAGAATAATTACACGTGTTTAAGAATACTTGCATGTGAAAAGAAGCAAGACGAGACAAAGACATTCCGACCAACCTACAACGAGACAAAGACATTCCGACCCACCTACAACGAGCCAAAGACATTCCGACCCACCTACAACGAGACAACGACATTCCGACCCACCTACAACGAGAACGAATGGCGCCGCGTACACCCACAGCAACCCACTCGTGACGTACGCCGCCGAATGAGTATCGATGACGTGGGCATCCCCCACAAGTTCGTGGTCGCCGAAGCTGTAATTCCTGTGGTGGGGGTCCACGTCGCCGTCGCCGTAGTCCAGGGAGGGCCACATCTCAAAGTCTGGCATCGGGTCACAGCAGTTCTGGGTGATCGTCGTTTGTGTTGTGTGGCATCCTGGGCCTCGGGTTTAGTATCATCTGTCAGACGCTCCAATTCTCTTGCAAAGTTGGACAGGAAATGTCACACACACAGCCTGGGAAAAAAAGGGGTGGGGGGTGCGGGATGTGTTCATATCACAAATACCAGGTACAAGAAAAAGAAGAACATTTGAGGTTAAGTATTCATAACACGCGCATCAGCGTCGTTTTGAAACACCGAGACAGCGTGGAAGATGTCAGTGCAGAGGCCTCCACACTTATTAAAAGGATATAGTCAGAACTATTGACTATCGACCCAGTAATGATCATGACACAGGGCAAACATTAGTGTCTATTATTTTAAGCAAGGAAAAAAAAATGTTGTCTATTGTTTTACACAAGGAAAACATGGGTGTGTATTGTTTTACACAGGGCAAACATTGGTGTCTATTGTTTTACACATGGAAAACATGGCTGTGTATTGTTTTACACAGGGCAAACATTGGTGTCTATTGTTTTACACAAGGAAAACATTGGTGTCTATTGTTTAACATAAGGAAAACATTGGTGTCTATAATTCAACACAAGGAAAACCTTGGTGTCTTTTGTTTTAAACAAGAAAAACATTGGTGTCTACTGTTAACACAGGGCAAACATTGGTGTCTATTGTTTTAAAAAAGAAAAACATTGGTGTCCACTGTTCTGTTAACACAGGGCAAACATTGGTGTCTACTGTTAACACAGGGCAAACATTGGTGTCTATTGTTTTAAACAAGAAAAAACATTGGTGTCTACTGTTAACACAGGGCAAACATTGGTGTCTATTGTTTTAAACAAGAAAAAACATTGGTGTCTACTGTTATGTGTCCCGTTTGTAACCACAGATAACAAAATTTGTTCTTTTTTCATTGGTGTCTACTGTTAACACAGGGCAAACATTGGTGTCTATTGTTTTAAACAAGAAAAAACATTGGTGTCTACTGTTAACATAGGGCAAACATTGGTGTCTATTGTTTTAAACAAGAAAAAAACATTGGTGTCTACTGTTAACACAGGACAAACATTGGTGTCTATTGTTTTAAACAAGAAAAAACATTGGTGTCTACTGTTAACACAGGGCAAACATTGGTGTCTATTGTTTTAAACAAGAAAAAACATTGGTGTCTACTGTTAACACAGGGCAAACATTGGTGTCTATTGTTTTAAACATGAAAAAACATTGGTGTCTATTGTTTTAAACAAGAAAAAACATTGGTGTCTATTGTTTTACACAGGGCAAACATTGGTGTCTATTGTTTTACACAGGGCAAACATTGGTGTCTATTGTTTTACACAGGGCAAACATGGTGTCTAATATTAACACAGGGCCAACGTCACTGTCTATTGTCCTGCTAGTTTACACATAAATTGTTTTCATTAAATATGATAGTTCTCATTAAATTATTACCTTGGAAACGTATTATTGTAAGTTAAAATGGTTGTCCTCTAGTCGAAGAGAAGATAATTCAAAGTTTGATTTAAAAAAAAAAAGAAAAAAAAAGAGTTTTAGAATGGCCTCGTCTTTAACGATGAGTTTGTAACAGGGGTAACCCTCTAATGTCGTTATGTGGTATCCGAGGACTAGTCGTCAGTGGTCAGGGTGTAAGATCTGTTTTAGAATCCCCGAGAGAAATCTAAATTAACAATGAGACATTCAGGACTACCATACCTGAGTAAACAAGAACACTGCCGTCAAGCTGTCATTGCAACCAGCAGCAAAGAAGCACTATACCATGTGTTGGTCAGTGATTGGTCAGTGATTGGTCAGTGATTGGTCAAAGTAAAGCGTTTGCCGTAAAGAGATGTATTTTTTTTATTGATGGCTGTGTACCTTAAATCCTAGTCATACACCTATAATCATAGAGTCCCCTATGTTGTAGCCGTACAGATATAATACTAGAGCCTCCTATGTTGTAGCCGTACACATATAATCATAGAGTCCCCTATGTTGTAGCCGTACAGATATAATACTAGAGCCTCCTATGTTGTAGCCGTACACATATAATCATAGAGTCCCCTATGTTGTAGCCGTACAGATATAATACTAGAGCCTCCTATGTTGTAGCCGTACACATATAATCATAGAGTCCCCTATGTTGTAGCCGTACACATATAATCCTAGAGTCACATATGTTGTAGTCATTCACAAATAATCCTAGAGTCACCTATGTTGTAGTCGTACACATATAATCCTAGAGTCCCCTATGTTGTAGCCGTACACATATAATACTAGAGTCACCTATGTTGTAGCTGTACACATATAATCATAGAGTCACCTATGTTGTAGCCGTACACATATAATCATAGAGTCCCTTATGTTGTAGCCGTACACATATAATCATAGAGTCCCCTATGTTGTAGCCGTACATATATTATACTAGAGCCTCCTATGTTGTAGCCGTACACATATAATCCTAGAGTCACCTATGTTGTAGTCATTCACATATAATCCTAGAGTCACCTATTTTGTAGTCGTACATATATAATCCTAGAGTCACCTATGTTGTAGCCGTACACATATAATCCTAGAGTTTACCTATGTTGTAGTCGTTCACATATAATCCTAGAGTCACCTATGTTGTAGTCGTACACTTGTCATCCTGGAGTCACCTATGTTGTAGTCGTACACTAATGATCCTGGAGTCACCTATGTTTGTGCACAGAACCCTCGGCACGTGTGTGCTGGTATGTGCCAACGCTGCTGGTGTCTAACTAGATTAATTGGAAATGGTTTCAACCCCCCCCCTTCCCCCCCCCCCCAAA